TAAGCATTTTGGTCAGTGGATTAGACCAAACGAAGTTGATAGACTAGTTAGCTCATCAGGCTCGGGTCATAATACTTATGACTTGCTAACTTATTAAATTCATGAGTTTGTCAGTTGTCACAATATCTTCCAGTTTCAGTGACACTTTGAGTCATAGTTTCTCTATAGATGCTCTATAGGAATTACTTTTACTAACTGCAAATTATGTTTTCCTTTTTAATTTTTGTTTAACGTTTTGGATCTTTAGGGCTGCTTACAAGGGATTTGCTGACTGTGTGCGCCTTCTTCTATTTCTCGATGCTTATAGGGGACGACAGGATAAAGAAGGTATTTTTTACTATTTTGATTTTTTCCTGTCATATACTCCTTAATTTGAATAATTTTCGCTCTAACTTGAAGTCTTTAATTTCATTGAGCTCAATAGGTTGCACCCCACTTCACTGGGCTGCTATCAGAGGGAACCTGGAGGCATGTACAGTTCTAGTTCAAGCAGGGAAGAAAGAGGACCTCATGATCACAGATAATACGGGCTTAACACCTGCACAGCTTGCTTCAGATAAGGGTCATCGGCAAGTTGCTTTTTTCCTTGTAGGTTCAGTGTCTCAAATAATTTATTTTTTGCATTTTGTTCCTTTTCATTTCTATTTTGCTCTTTATAAGGCGAGGAGTGTTTCCAATACAATAAGGTTGCTTTGTACCATTATTTACATGCTTAACTCTTTGGACCCTGTAGGGGAGGGAAACTTGTGCTTTTAAGTCTCCTTTATTTCCTGTCGTTGATTTAGGTTATCAATCTGTGAATCTATGATTCTTGCTTCTACTTCTTGTATTCTTTCTTTTCCTTTTCAGGGTGACTATAAAATGCCTTGCGCTAGGGAGAAGTTGCGTAGGTTGCAATTGTGAATTTATTAGACAACTGTTAAGAAGGAGACACACTCACTTGTTGGGCATGAAATTTAGGTAGAAATGATAGAGACTTCTAATTTTGCAGCCCTTTTTATAATATGAAAAAAAGCGAAGAAGTATATGCCTTCTGCAAATCTAGATGTTTTGTATGTGTCCAATGGAGGTCAAAATGTGCATTCATAAGGACTGTTGATTTGAATTTTATGTTTCTTTGGAGGTAGACTTTCATGAAAATTCAATGATTCAGGACATAATGGCTCAAAAATTACCGACAGATGTTGCTCTATAGCTAAATGATGGGTAAGATTCTATATATCTAATTGCAAATGCTTGTGACGGATGATTTCTTTGTTTTTGTTGAGCTATTTTTGCTGCAAACGGTACTTAGTTATTTTTTAATTGATTGCACTAGATTTTGATACGAAGCTTAGAGCAAGTAGGAAGTTGTTTGATGATGGAGTAATTATTGAGTTGTTCTCATATACACATATGTATGCACACTTAGAATAGCATGAATATGGAGCCAAAGCCTTTGATTATATGTTATTCTAAGCCATCCCAAGTTGAGTCAAATAAAAAGAGCTGTTGGGAGCTGTCCACTTGACTAATTCTGCTAGTAGCATCACTGGACTTCCTCCTAGTACCAAATAAAATTTTCTAAGTGGTTTTTGTCCTTCACTTATTCCATGATTTGTTTTCCATGTCATTGTTGAATGAGAGTTGTGATTAAATAGGATAGTCCCATTCTTTGGAAAAAGGAAGGACTAGTGCATAAGACTCCCACTAATGTGGAGTTCAACTTCACTCGGTAAGCAGAGAGACTATTTCTGGAACTTAAACCTTGTCATACAGTTTGCAAAGTAGCAATCTTACCGCATGACAAAGGTTCACCTGCAAATTAGAAACCAGTTCATAGAAGGTTTTCAATAGTAGATTCCTAATCCTATGTGATAGTGAGCAGCAACTGGACAGTTTCCTTAAGGGGACCTTTTTCTTTTTTCATATTTTTATATCAATAATTACACAAAAAAATTGATTTTTTAATTTTCTAGAGTTTCAGATAAATTATCTGTGTAATCATCCATGCGTGCAAATTGTATGCGTTTGTGTTTATGAGGATGTCTATAATATATTGCATGTGTATATGTAACAAGTGTTCTGGAGCCTGTTATTGGGATCCTAGAAAGAATTTGCATTTGCAGCTGATAAAATGTTAAACCAAAAAAATTAGCCGCATTGACTGTTGCATCTTACAATTGTGCAAACCCCAATATGTGGTTTTAACTCTTTTAATTGCCAGCATTATTTCCTATCAAATCTTGCAATGTTCCAACTTCTTGTTTCATTTTCTTTACGCTTAGAAGCCCCGAGTGGAGTGATACAGAAGCTGACTGCTGGATGAATGATTCATATTGCTTGGTTTCACCAATTGTATTCTGGATCTTTCTTGGTCTTTCAAAGTGTTTACAAGGCTTCTTCCAACTAGACTTTGGAAATGTTGATGAAAAAGTTAATTTTTGTAACCTATGCTGATGCGTTTTTGTTTCCTTGTATAGTTTTCTGTATCTTAAACTTGTTTCTGCTACAGTTCAAAGGAGCTTCCTCATAGCAGGTCATGAGTAGCTGGTATTATTTTTTGCAGGGCAATGCTAGACAGGTATTTGACAGGCGCTGTGATGCGAATAGCCACCTGGGAAAGCTATCAAAATTAGGACTTGCACCTGCTCTTTGGTGCATAATAATTGCTATGCTGTTTACATATATACATTCAGTCATTGCAGGTATACTATGTTGATAAATCTTAAACCGTCCATCCTGTTAAATAAATTTTATAGAATTTATTCTCTGATATTCTTTCTTTTGTGGATGTAGGTTCTTACAATTTGAAGTTAACACCTATATTTGGGCTTTGTGCCTGGTTGGGAGTTCTCCTGGCAACTGCAGGATTATTCATGTTTTATAAATGTAGTAGGTATGGTAATTTCTTGTTGTAATGACTGTGTTTGATTGAAGTTGTACTTTTGCTAGTTATTGCAGAGTTTATGTAGGAGTTATGGACATTTGATGTGAAAAATACATGGACATTGTCTTAAAATCATGTAAGTGACACCTCTAATCTCATTTAGTTTGAGAGACATAAAAAGGTTTATATAATCCTTGTTTAGAAGATTAAACTATAAAGTAATGATTGTTTTACCAGGAAATCGATAAATTATCCAGCCATGATTTAATGGCCTACAACAACTTGTCGTGGGCATAGGGGAATAGTGCCTAGGGATCACAGCAGATCAGTTTTTTTTTGGGTACTCATGTCTACCTGACCCACTTAAAGTAGGTCATATCCCCTTTAATTGGTGTGGGATAATTTCGGGTGAAAAAATAGGTATCCAAGTAAGATCTGGTTTTGGATACTTCGATAGTGGCCTACATTGCCATTAGGGATGCGGTAACTTGCCATAGAACCTGCGGTGTTACTGTATTCATGCTGCTACAGTGATCACTGGAGTAACTTCTGTAAGTGCTGTCCTGCTGCTCTTCTATTCCATCATTGAATTTTAATTTAGGGCTACTTCCTTGCAATGTTCTATTGCCCGAGTCCTAATTGACTCAGGACCCTACTACCTTGGTATATGTTTTATTCTGCAACTTCATCTCTTAAACAACGGAAGTCTGCTTTCATCCTTTGCTTTATTTGGACTAACATGTTGCTTTGCATCTACATGGAGACAAGATGAATATTTATAACTTACTTTTTATGCATATCCTGCACCTGTTGGGAAATGGGGAAAAGATATATGGCCCTGCATTGTTCCACTATATGCATACACTTTTTCTCAAAATAAAAAGGAAGCTTCAGGAACATGTGTTTCTTGTAGAACATTTTTCATTTCCATTATAATAGTAGAGATGATTATGTGATTTTAGATGTGTGAATGGTGAAGCTCAACTGGCTCCAATTTTTTGTTTTGTCACAGAAAAGATCCTGGCTTCATCAACAGGAATGCACGCGATGCACAAAGCCTTAGAGATGATGTAAGCTGCAAACATTGCTTGCTTAGAATGTAGCTACTATAAATATTAGGACTTTGTCTAATTAGATGTTGTCATAACAATACCTCAAGCTTTGTGTTCATATCTGTTTTGTTTTCATGTGGTTAAATTCAGAACAAATTTCTTAGCAATGTCTCTAAATGCACATTATCCATGTACTGAGTCATACACACTCTCACATTGCCTGTAGGTAATAACTATAGAAAGGCATTTCTTTCTAGAGAATTATTTTTGCATTTAGCAAACAAAAGGCTTCTTGCCTGACATGTCAAGATATACATAGTATAGTACAATCATGTTCAAAGATTCTCTTTTGCATGATCTTGTTTCAAGAAAACTTGTATGCCTTAGAGCATATATATATTGGACTTTGAGTAGGGGCATGATATGAGGAGACACATCTCCTTGCACCAAACTAGGAATTTTATTTTGTACCCATTAGTACCATAACAGTGTCAGTGCTATTAAACCATGGAATAGAGTAACTTAAAGAACCATTATTGTATTCAGAGAAAATCCAAAAAAATTATTTTAAGTATAATAAGAGATTTAATTATCCTTTTATTAAGCTGTACAACTCATGGATTGCTTGTGCTGGTCTGTGCCGTCTTGTTCCCAGCCTGTGCAGTACTGCAATAATAGAATATTGGCATGGATGTCATGCTGATCCGATACAACCTGCCAGTTATCAGTGTATGATGTTGATGGGGCCTGTGCCACAACCTGCTGTGTGTGCTGTTTTTGCACTAAGTGGTTGGGATGGTGTCATGCTGCAAGAAGGGAAATTATGCTTAAACCACTTTTATTTTTTCAAAAATTTAGGGACGCATGGGCTAAATTTTTGTCCTACAATTGTGATTGAACAGTGCAACATTGCATTGTCAGTTTTTTTCAGTGAATTGATTGATTCTGTCAGGAAAATGCCAACTATCTACTCAAGGTCACCACCTTAAACATGATGATTGTTGTTTGTTTATATATATATATATATATATATATATATATATATATATAATTGTTGTTTGTTTTATGTGTGTGTGTGTGTGTAAATTAGAAGATGAGATAATGTTATAAAGGAAATCAACAGGTTGACTGAAATGCCTTTTTTTGCAGTAAAGTAAACCATAACCACAAACAGGGTAAGAAATGGGTGGGTAGTGGGTACATACCTGTGGCATGAACCTGTATGCAGATGGCCTTCGTTTCAGGTGGTCTGTTCCGACTTAGAAAAAACTATTTAGCACTCTATAGGGCTTGCAAATTGGTGAGCCCCCCTTTGCCTGAACATGAGCCTCCTATTGCCTCCTGTCATGCTCACCTAGGCTTCCTCCTCTTCTCCTCCTCTTTCTCCACTGTCTCTACTTCCTTCCACTTCATCCTCCTCCTTCCACCTCGTCCTCCATCAATGCCCCCTCTTCTTCCTTCCTTCTCCTTCCTCATCTTCCTTCACCTCCATCTGTTCCTTCCTCTTCTCCTTCTTCTTTTCATGACATTGGTATGTCTTGGTGTACCATGCACTGGTACATAGATACCAACTGGTACATACTGGTCTGGCTATGGATCAAGACAATATGGGTGGTTGGTACAAGATGACAGTCCTTGATCGTAAATGTAAGTAACAAAGTTCACATTGCTAGATGATTATGTCGCTAGCTTAATTGTGCTTTTTCATTTCTCTTCTTTGCTTGCAAGGATGAGTTTGCACATGTTGATCCTCTCCCTATCTTACATTAGTGCAAGCCACATGCATTGAGCTATCCCTTTCTTAGCTGGGACTAGGATTCAAGTTTCAGGAGTCCCAGGCTGGTTTCCAGCACATCGACTGATACGTGCTGAACATGCTGGATCAGCAATTGGTCCTTGGATGGGATATGTATGTGTATATATTGAGAGTTATATTAATGTTTCTTGGACAGATCCTTTGATTTTAAGCCATCATATAACAAAATATCTGATTCTTTGAAATTTACCTATGATTTACAACTATAAATATTTGTGCTATAGGAACCTTTATTGAAGATGGAGTTAAACCATCCTGCCCTGTTGGCTGGGAATTGGTCCCAACTGTGTGCAACATGCAAGGTACACTTCTTTTCTATCCATAGGAGGGGAACTCATTTTCCTTTGTCGTATTACTCTTGGAGTTCTGATTCAAATTTGGTTGAAATAATACTTAGATTGTCAGGCCTATACGGGCAAAGCATTGTTCCACCTGTGATCGTTGCGTTGAGCAGTTTGATCATCACTGCCCTTGGGTATCAAATTGTATTGGCAAGGTGCTTTTGATACTCATATATTTCTTCCTGGTTCCTACCTTTTATTTCTCTGGAAGTACTAGAGGCATTGTCATGCAAGGTTGCTCATTTCTTGCTCTATTAATCAATTGATCATCTAATTTGTCAATAACCATTGTTCTGCAGAAAAATAAGTGGGACTTTTTCATGTTTCTTGTGCTGGAAGTTTCAGCTATGATAATTACTGGTGTAGTTACCATTGCAAGTACGTGTTCATTAAAGTTGGTTTCTCTATGAGTTTATCACGCTATCATTTGACTCACTGCTAGTGAAAAGCAAAAATTTCCTGCAGCAATTGTGAAAGATCCTTCTCCACCATCTTTTGGTGGATGGTTGAATCATAATGCCACCGAGCATCTTGGGGCCTTATCATTTCTGATAATGGATTTTTTTCTCTTCTTTGGAGTTGCCGTCCTAACTGTCGTCCAAGCATCACAGGTATGCAACTAAAATGATGTAAATGTTAATTAATAGCAATTAGCATTCTGCTACTGCATTGCATTAATTGTATGACAATGAAACACTAGTCTGAAAATAATTACACTTCAGATCTCAACATTTCTTTAACTTTTCATATTTCAGTTCCATGAGCTGTAGTATGTCTTTAATCCTTACATAATGGTGGACAACATAGATATTCTATTAATATTTAGTTTATTTATAATGTTTTTCTTTGCTACTGATTCGTATTAAAATATAGATCAGTTTTTGAATCCCATTGAAGAATAAAAATGCTGGCTTATGAAGCTAATGGCATACTGAATCATAGTTTTAGGCTCTTGATAGAACTGAACAGATCATAAATTTGAAATCTTTTCTGAGGCGGCGGGTTCAGACTGCAGACTCTATCAACCCATGAAGTTATGAAGTGTGGTTTCTAGATCAATGATGCCCTTAATGACCTTTGGTTTCAAACACATCTTAGCATTTAGGAACCAACTGCTATCTTGTTCATCTAGTTTTATTAACATTATGAAAAAACACAAGATAGTGAAAGATTGATTTAATAAATGATCAATGTTGCATGCACAAAAATATTCTTTTATTTGTTCAGTGGAGTTGACCATACCATTATCTAGGCAGGGGATGTAATTTTTTTCCGAGGAAGGAATTGGCCATACCATTATCTAGGTAGGGGATGTAATTGTCTCTCGAGAAATGTCGTTGGCCTCCCAAATTACATGTACTCTAGACTCTAGGACTTTTGGGTAAGGAATATCGTATCGCATACTAGATTTGTATCGATCACTGGTGGGATCGGTACATACTGGTATTGGTGTGTCGACACATTATCATAGACAAATATTTACAAAGAGTGTTTGATGTAATGTTTGTGTCAAGGATCATAATTTCGTACCGTACCAGAGTTTCAAGCGTAGTTTGGTATGGTACAGTACAGAGTACCGAGCGATACACTAGAGTTTCAAGCGACATCGCCTCCTTTTTTTACCTGCGCGGGAAGAAGAAACCGAGGTTTCCTTCTCCTCGCGCAAAAAAGGGCGACGAGGCGACGTCTTCGCCTTGTTTCTTCTGCCCGCGTAGGGAGAAATGCTGCCTCGACGACGCTCCGTTTCTTCTCCCCGCGCGGATGAGAAGTCACCGACGATGCCGAGGCCTCGTCGCCTCAAACGACGAGGAGGCAACATCTCATCTACGGCATCCGGTGAGGGATGGTGGCAACGGATCTGGATAATCGAGGGAGAGCGACGCCGGATCTCCAGGTTCTCCCTTTACTTCTCCCCCTTCTTCTCCCTCGGCTCTCCCTCAACTAATACCACCTCGTAGCGAGCGGCGACGATCGAAATTGATCGTCACCGATCGATTTAGGGTGGTAATGGGGAGGAAGCAGCCCTAATCGACGGTACCGCCCGGTAGCGGGCAGTCCGTGTACCGGTCTGCTGACGAACTGGTACATACTGCCCGGTACGAGCGATATTATTCGAAATTAAAATTCTTGGTTTGTGTATATCTATGTTTTTCGGTTTTATTCATGCTTTACACAGTATGTAGAGAGCTTGCGGTAGGCTTGACAACCCCATTTTGACTGGCTTTTGTGGTCGTTTTAGTCTTGTAAACACAGGTTGTGTGCAGTTGTCACACAAAGGCAAAACTGTCTAAAAATAAGCCATCTAGGCAGTCATTTTGGGGGTTGTCTAGCTCCATAGAGTAGTGTGGAGTATTAACCAATGCAGCACCTTGGAGCTACCTAGGTGGCATATGGTTAGATGGGCCTTTGGGGTATTATTTAGGGTTGGTTTGCTATCTTGTTCCACAGCGTGTTATATGAGCACTTGTGAGGACTTTTGGTTGCGACGGACCACCTTAGATCCTTTATCGCGCGGTCGCTCAGAGCTTACAAAGTTTATGTTTATAATTTACATTGCTTATCAAGTGTTTGCTGAAATGCCTGCTTGTGGGATCTCAAGTAAAACGATTCCTCCAACCACCCATCTTCTCATTTGTAGGTTTTTTAAGGGACCATAAGAGGTCTCGGGGAGGCTGATCCTTTGCAAACGAACAAGTAAGAGTGTCGCACGATTTAGGCAAAACCAACTAAGTTCATGACATATGGTATTAGAGCGAGACAAACACACTTAGAAACACTTGACATGCAAACGTGGGGGGTATAGCAGGACTGCATTGAAGGCAGCCAGCACACGTGACCGTTTGAGAGAAACAAGCATAGAGACGTAGGGAAAGGACTCAAAGGAGTCACTCAGAGAAGTGAACATCCGAGATTGACATTCAAATGAATGACCAATCCTTCGTGCGAGAGGCACCACAAGGACAAGCGAGCTGAGAAGAACGCATAGCGCATAAAGGTTAGGATGGCTGAGTTCGAGTTACGACTCAACGTTGACAACCAAACTTGATAGTGCTCAAGGCAACTGGAGCGCTTGACAAAGGATGAGATCGTGCAAGGAGGGATGGGTTGCTCGGCGGCTGAAAGAGATATGCAAAGCTTACAGAGGTGAGGGAAATTACTAACTCGAAGATTTCGGTACTCATGTAAGGGCTTATATATAGACGATGGATTGTCCGTGGCCATCCCAAGGCGACCGAAACTTGGCGCCATGGAGCATGGATACTTTCTCTTTGACATGGGAAGGATATGTGCGTAGGTGGTTGAAGTGTGCAGTAGGCTCAGCATGTTGCTAGGCCTCGAGGGGCGTAATGAGGGTTGTATTGGCGAAGAGTTGCAATCTAGTATGTTCATTCGTAGTAGTGGAACATTGTGCAGTTTGTTCAACAAGGCGAAGTAATCTAAGGGGATGGTGGTTTTTTAAACTTCGAAAGAAAGGATACGAAGAAAAAAGTTGCTCCAATAGGATAAATATTTAAGAGGGATAAGTTTCTGATTCTCTAGAGGGAGAATCATCTATAATAAACTGCACATGTTGAGTAGGGTTCCTCAAGACGACAGCTCTATAAAGCTAAATGGACCGAGCGAGCTGTCACGGACAAAGTTGTAAATAAGGTGTTTGATGTAATGCTCATGTATGTCCGTGTCTTTCAGTTTTGTTCATGCTTTGCACAGCATGTAGAGGGCTGGTCGTAGGCTTGGCAGCCCCATTTTGGTTGTCTTTGGTGGTCGTTTTAGGCTTGTAAATAAAGATTGTGTCATGTGAGCACTTCTAGGGATTTCGGTCTGTAGTGGACTATCTTCGACCCTTTGTTGTGTGACCGTTCAGAGCTTGCGAAATCTATAGTTGTAATTTGCATTGGCTATAAAGTGTTTGCTGAAATGATTACTTGTGTATCCCCAGTGAAACACTTTCTCTAACCTGTTTTCTCTTTTGAAGAAGATCGTAAGAGACCATCGAAGGCAGGTTGACCTTTGCGAATGGACACGTAAGGGTGTCGCACGACTTAGGCAAAACCAGCTAAGTTCGTGATAGAGCGGCGAGGAGTTGTTGCATAATCTTGTATAAGGTAATGTGTCGATGGATGTATTGCGAGATCAAGTGGGGGAGCCACCCTCGGCAACACCAAACAAAGGCACACTGAGTTGATGTGGAGATTGGACTCAACGCAGGGTTAACCCGTTGAATGGTGGGCGTGAGGGCCACCATCAATTCAATGCAAACTGAAGAGTGGAGCAACTTGGGTGGAGCTTAATGAAGTGCTTGAGACGCATAAAGGGAGTTGACAAAACGAAACATGGAGTGGAGGTGCGAAGCTTTCCTTGGAGAGGTCAAGGTCATGAACCTTTGTAGTGGTAAGAGCGAGATCATGTTGTTCCATGGGTCCCTCATTTTAATGGAGTGGACTCATCTTGTATGGTGCCAAAGTTGAAGGGAGCTTCGAGGCACATGCACTTTATCTCGACGAAGCAATTGATGGAAAGATTAAGGTGTCTTAAATTGTGGAGACGAAGTTAGGGCCAAAAGACCTTAGCATGTGGTAAGAGAACGCAGTGGCGAGTACTCTTGAAGAATATACTGCAGTGTTGTCATTCGAGTTGTTGCAAAGGAAGCTATGCGTAATGGAGATTGTGCTAGGCGTAAGGGCCAGGATTCAAATAATGGGACACCAATTTTAGCGAAGTCAGTGGACTTCGAGCACTGCAGGGTGACGGATTGTTCTAGAGTTGCACTTCGTCTGTGTGTGACCTGTGAGTGGGTGGATGAAGGTCGATTGCCAAAGGAGTGAATACAATTAGAGATGGCGAAGGCCTTGTGATGTATTGGCAAAGGCCACAGATAGAGAGATCATGGCCCGGGTTCATCCCTCAAAGATTAGAATGCAATGGAAATATCACCAGGAGGCAACATGGTGCAGTGAATCATGGTGGAATAGATTGAAGCAATACAACACACGTGAGAAGTCCCATGAGGGACTTAATCATATGGAGGTATGATCGGGAGTTACTGAGAGCTTTATTTCGGTGAGCAACATGACGGTAAGAAGAGCTATGGATTCAAAGAGTGAATGCCATAATATTGCGGTGCTGTACATTTTCTACTCAGACGAGTAGGTGACGAAAAAGATGGATAAGATGGTACAATCCTAAAAGCAACCAAAACTATCGGAGACTAACTTCAAGTCGAGGTGAAAATGTACTTTTTCCAGGCAAAACTTCTTGTATTTCAGAAGTTCGATGGCAATGAGAAGACGAATTATAGCAGCTAACTCAACGTAAGGAATAAAAACACTTTGGGTGCTTCAGAAATGTGAGCAAAGAACAAGCGAAGGCTAGTAATCACCTTGATGCATAAAGTTCAACTCTCAAGGAGGTGGGTGTAGTCAGATAATCTTTGTCTTTTTAACTCTTAAGATAATAGGGTGAGGTTGAGTACCACAATTATCTTATTTATTCAGTAGAGGAGCTTTGCTCATGTTCTATCATTCAAAAAGACATAATGGAAGACAACAATTGTCAAATCCTCATTAATGCTGATCGGATCTATCAAAGGTAGATTGTACGCTTCATTTACTAACAAAATGTCAATAAAAAATGAAAGTGATGCGAACTTACTTGGAGATGATAACTAAGTAGAAGAGGAATCGGTGGACAAATTTTGTCGAGGAAATACCTCAAAAACTTTAAAGTCTGCGAGGCAATGCTTGTTAGAGCTTCAACAGGCATCTACCCAGTTCAAGTGGCGCTAGACGTTTGAGAGACTAGCGCATAACAAGGAAGGTCTTTTCCTTCATCTGAGGGATCCGCAGGAACCAACAAAGATTAGCGCAACTCGACCAACCACACACCAAAGTCAAGAGTCACTTGCGAGTAGAAGCTGCATTGGCGGATCAAAGTTTGACTACTTAATAATGACAGTGGAGAATAGCTAGAAGTCAAGGGAGGTGTGTTGCAGCTAAAGTGGAAGATTGAAGATGAGAGTAGCTAGAAGCCGATGGAGGTGTGTTGCAGCTAAAGTAGAAGATTAAAGATTTAGCAAAGGCGAGGAGATGCAACGTTCACAAAGGCTTCAACAAGGATGTCAAAAGAATAAGTGGGGGAGAATGTCATAGACAAATCTATACAAAGGGTGTTCGATGTAATGTTTGTGTATGCTCATGTCTTTCAATTTTGTTCATGCTTTACATAGCATGTAGAGGGTTTGTAATAGGCTTGACAACTCTATTTTGGTTGGTTTTTATGATTGTTTTAGTCCTGTAAACACAAGTTGTGTGCAGTCATCACAGAGATAAAACTGCTTAAAAATAGGCCATCTAAGCAGCCATTTTGGGAGTTTTCTAACTTCGCAGAGTAGTGCGGAGTGTCAACTGGTATAGCACCTTGGAGCTACCCGAGTGACACATGGTTAGATGGGCTTTTAGGGTATTGTCTAGGGTTGGTTCGTTTTCTTATTTCGCATCGTGTCATGTGGGCACTTCTGGGGACTTTTGGTCACGGTTGGACATCTTGGATCTTTTGTCACGCAACCTTTCAAAGCTTATAAAGTCTATGTTTGTAATTTACATTGCCTAACAAGTGTTTGCTGAAATATCTGCTTATGGGATCCCGAGTTAAATGCTTCCTCTAACCCGTTTTCTCTTTTGTAGATCCTTAAGGGACCATAAGAGGTTTCGGAGAGGTTGACCCTTTGTGAACGGACACGTAAGGATGCCACACGACTTAGGCAAAATCAGCTAAATTCGTGACAACATGATACACCTGTAGGTATACCCAGTGTTTCAAAGATGAAGGAGAAGAGGAAGGCATAGTGGAGGAAGGAGGAAGAAAAAAAAAAGGAAGTGGGAGGAGGCGATTGAGAAAAAGGAGAGAGGAAGAGGAAGGAAGAAGAGGAGGCGATGGAGGAAGAGGAAACGGAGAAGGAGAAGAGGAGGAATACTGGGGACGTAAGTGGCGACGGTGCTGGATGGCAGCGATGGAAAGCAGCGGCGGTGACATCAGTTTGCAAGAAGAGGGCTCATGTTTGTGAAGTTTTTTTTTAATAAAAGAAATTTTCTATTGGGTTGTGGAATGAACCGCTCGAAGTGGGCTGGGTCGCATACCAGTTCATGCCTGGACCAATATGTACCACTCATTTCATACTAGTCTGGACGAAATGGAGAACCCTGCTTCGAGGTGTCTAGATTTTGATGACAGCCATGCGATCATATAAACAAATGACCCTTTTTCACTTTTGCCTTCTCAAGAGAAAAGTGTAGGGTACCATGGTAAATGCCTTGATAAAATATCATTGAAAACACTGTGTCTAGATTTTTAACAAGGAAAGTGGATAGAAGAATAAAAAATGCCATCATGCTCTTCTTCCAGGAAATCTTTGTTAACCAGCTTTGTTTTATTTGGTCAACAGCTCTCCTGATCTTTTTCTTTCCTTGCAGATCTCACAGAATATAACAACAAATGAAGTCGCAAATTCTACGAGGTACAGTTACCTCAAAGGGCCTGGTGGACTGTTCAGAAATCCATACGATCATGGCATTCACAAAAATTGCTCGGACTTCTGGATAAAGGGTTACAATGAAGATGTGGAGCTTCCAGAACAGATACCACCGTCAGAAGAAATGGGGATGATTCAGATGACGAGAAGCACAGATTCACAGAATGGCGAGAGCCATTCCCATCAAAGTAATAACGTCAATGTCTGCGTCGACGGTCAGTCCAAAAGTTCAAGAACTCATGGACATGTTAATGGCAAGAATGACAGAGCCCCCCATGGGTTAGGCTTGGGTGTTGGTCGTAATGCTCGACACAACACACGATCGATTCTGCCATTGTGATCGTTCAGACGGCACGGGCAAAAGATTATTCTCCTTTGTATCATATTCATTGAGGTTTTTTTTTTCCTTCTTTTGGGTGTGTATGTAGATCTAATGTCAGATGCTTTATTCTCTGAAAGCAGTTTTTACCTGATACAAATATTATTTCACTTGTGGATGTTGTAATGCCCAATGGTAGCTTCATAATGGTGTTGCCGTACTTGGATGAGATGTTGTAGTTGTAAAGACGCTTTAAGTCATCAGATTTCATTTAGTTTAAGAATGCAGAATCATTCATGATTCGTCTTATGCTTGTGCATGTGATATCGATGCTGCACGGTTGTACGTATCACATGTAGAATTCTTGTTCTCTTGGATATATTCCACAACTCATGTGAAAACGCAACTAGAATTCTTCAAAGATGACATTTACTTTTATTGTTGACACAGCAACCACAATTCTTTACAAGATATAAGAAACTGAAGATTATTTAAGCAATTCCATTGATCAACATTAACTCAGATTCTGATTGTACGGCACATACATAAAAAAGATTCGTGTCAGGGAATTGAGGATTTAGTCTGACGTTATATAAAAACTACATTAAGACATATTTGGTGTTTATGTTAGTACAAACATTAAGACATACTTGGACAAGCCATATCCTCAATCATGTTGCCATTAAATCATACATCGAACATGAGGATACAAACAACATATCAAGTCAATTTTCTATCAACAACACTACATGATTGACCATATTAACTCGAGACAATGTCAATGGACCCCATGAAGTCGAGTTAATATCCTTGTTGGCAAATAGGATCGAGGTATCTACCGAATGGAGATTAAGTACCAACCAGATATCAACTAGGTGGGGATGACGTGTCAATGACAGCACAAATGTCATATTCCCCTAAGCACCTCCTAAGATATACATTAAATTACAAAGAGACATCTTAGCGATCAAGGCACAGCGTAAAATTGTCATGTGCATCAATCATGTTATAATATAATTGATAAATAAAGATTAATAATGTTAAAAATCTAAATATGAATTATTATATGATAAAAATAATTAACAATCTATTGTTAACAATATTTGATCTATTTTTAACAGTAATCAGAGAGAAGAAAAGAGTCATCAATGATGAAAAGGAAGAAGAGACGACAATGATGGAGGAATTTTTAGATGCCGACAATGAAAAAAACTACGTATGTCAACAGCAAAAGCAAAGGAAGCTTCGAACAACAACATCGATGATGAGGAAAGCTTCAGATGTGTCTGTCAGTAGCGAAAGAAGCTACAATCCTCCCTCTCAATGGTAGAAGAAGTTGCACACAAAAGCAATGACGACAAGAAGAACTATGCACGAAAGCTACACCTTTGGATTCATTCATCGACAAGGGGTGGGTTTTACAAGTAAAATAACTTTATATAGCTTAATTGGTTCAATTGAACTAATTAGCTACTGTTAAACCGAACGATTGCATGATTTCAATTGGGAGCTCACCCAAGATGCCTGGCACCTAGGTTCAGGCAAGCGTCTAGGTGATGCTTCATTGAAGCACGTCGCTCGAGCCTCGCCTCACCTCACTCAAGCACCTAGGCGAGTGCTCGAGCACCTATTTAAACACCTGTTCTATTCCAAGCCATGCGTGAACTTGGAACCTTGTTCAAGTTTACTAGCGGTAGACAGGAGTTCAGGTGTGACCTGCGTTTGCCTATAACCTGTAAATGTTCAAGTATAGGTCATCACTGAAGATTATTTCGGCATTATAACCTGTAAATTTACTACCTGGAACGCTTACAATAGGATGCACCTGATTCAACGTGACACATGAAATGCTATATAAAGAGGATCGGAAGTCCGGCCACTGGTGAATGTTTGTGCTTCAAGGAATGTACCATATAGCTTCAATAGGAAAGATACCATAACACATCGGCGAACAATTTCTGAATTCATGTCAACTATTTTACCATGCAGCTGCTGAAGCATAGCTCAGCTGCTCCCACATGCTTGTGGCCTGGCTTGATTGCTCGTGTCTAGGAAACTTGGATCAAAAAAGGTGCACATAATACAAGCAGATTTAAGCAAAATGATCTAAAAACTAGATAACAAAAACAAGGGAACCCATCTTACATGGAGGAAGATGCTGATGTGATGGCAGCCACTGATTGTTTTGACATAGTCTTGGAGATAACTCTTGAACAAATCAGCATCTCCGGTCTCTTTGATATCCATGCCTCTATGGACTAGTAAATGGGACCATGCTTCTAGTCATGTATGACTGCACCTATTACAGTCATGCATGAAAATTTGGTACATGGTTTCTACAGATTCAACAAGGTTGATGCTGAGCCAGCAGTGTAGGATGGAACACGTTCCTTGACAGCTAATCCATGTAAGAAATATCAATATCAATAACTTACTGGAACATAATATTCTTTACAGCTCTCGGTTCATATTTAAATCCCTAGTCTGTTTTCATGAAAATCAACCATAAGAATAATACTGAGAATATAAATTAGCTTTAGTTTTCTACTTTTTAGTTGCCTCAATCATAATCAATATCAAGCTTTTCTCAATCATAATCCAGTTTTTTGTTTTCATGCTGCTTGCTGCAATGGAGGCTCACCACCAAATATATCGCAAGGTCCACACACACTCTTGAATACATGTCAAAAAGTTGAACAAGGGTTGGCATATAATATATTTCTCAGAGCGATGTGTTCAATCTAAAGTTGGATGCAAGTTCTATAGTGGCTTTTTAACCAATCTAAAAACAGAAACAATGACTAATTTATTGACTTTGAAAACCTATATTAAGCTAATAGATCAATGTACGTGAAAAAGAATGAAAGAGAAAGGAGAATGAGCATACCTAGAGCCCCAAGTACAGAATTCTGATGACACACAAGTTCTTAGGATTGTCCACATACTAAGCAAGCCATCGTCCGTACATGACTTCACTGTCTGAGTTAACAGCACCAACTAAAATGGGAACAACATTTATAGGATAACCGCAAAGGAAGAAAAAAATGGTATGACCATAGTTGTTAGTGCATCATTCTGTAGGTCATTGAACCATTTGTCAAACTAAACAATGTATGTGTGGGACTCTAAATCATGCTGTAGGTCATACTTATTGAACTATTTGTCAACCTAGTCTTCATATGCATGTTCTTTTTATTATGATAAACCAGCCTTGAGCTCTTGAAATCAGAATTGGTGATTGGTCATTGGTTGTCAAATTCTTGGACTCAGAAAAGAGCAAGAAGCAATTTAAAGAGTGTACAGGCTTGAAGCTTCCCACAAAAATAAACACCATGTGAAACATTTTAGATTTGTATCTCCTTAAAAACTTATTCTAGCAAATTACTGATGAACTTTTAAAATCTTTATATCGTTAAGGCACGTGCATTTATCATCACTTTACCCATTACGAAACAGAAAAACCATGCTGGATATGAAAGATAAGCTGAAGAAACTTAGTTGCCTAATTTAACAAAGTAAATCACTTCAATCATAATGTTCGGTCCTCACTATACTACTCACAGTCTTTCCATCAATACCATCACTGAATAATACTTTTGTTCCTAAACTCAATAAGATTTTCTTCACTATTTCACTTTATTATCAATCAATCTCATACATCTATGTTGACATACTCAAGAAACAATACAAAGTAAAAGTTGATTTTTTACTCCACCCACTGGGCTATTATTCAGGCTCAACATCCAACCAAAAGGTACCGACTTTATAATATTTGTAAAATTAACTCTTCACCTTGAGGTCTCAATGAATTTCTTATGAAATTTTCTTTTACCACAACTTTAAGCTACCCATTTCATCAATCCTATAGGTAGTACTCCAAATATGTGCTACATATTATCAAAGATCTGCTGGTTTGATGTATATGCCGTTTTTTTAAGTTCGGTTCCATGCATATGCTAAAAGTACCAAAGGACACTTTGAAAATTTGGTCTGAAAGGAGGATATTCTCAACATATTTTCTCTGCAAAACAGTAGCAAGCTATCCAAGCATATCATACATGAACCAATGTTCTAAAAATAAAATGTTAACCTTTGAATTTATATTTTCGTTATCCCAAGAGCCGATTACCTATTTGTCTCCCAACAATAACCCACCTGTTTGTCAATGGCAGAAATATCTGACCTAAAATTCATCTCCCAACAATATTCAATCGATTGATTCTTAATATTTTTTCACATCAAACAATGCAAACGCACATGCAGCACAAATACTTCCTCCTCAAAATCCGTTCCATAATTGGCTTCTCAAGAGATCAAAATGTAGCAGGGGTTTGAGAGATTCACCGTTGCTGGTGTACCTGGATCCAGCATGAGCCGCTCTTCGGATCCTCTCCAACGGATCGAAGCAAAAGGCGAAGCGTTGATCGATCGGAAGGAAGACGAACCAAACCCTATCTCTCCGCCCATATGCAGGACGACGGAAACGATGTACATTACAAGCCGTGGGAGACAGTGGGAGAAGGGGCACGATAAGAATAGATGCGGTCGGAAGGGACAATTTAAACGAGGATTGGATCTAGTACAGATTAACTCAGATTTCTGTTTTGCAATGGTAATGGAATGTGAACATCTGTTAAATCCAACGGTGGATTGTTCACGATGTTGGTGACCGGGACGGTTTACAAGCTTAGAGGCATTGTATGGAATCCGATTAAACAAAGTTAAAGCCGAGGCGGAGATGTGTATATATAATCCTTCAAAATAAATGATAAATTAAATTACATTATAATTTTTAAAAAATCATTCTGATAATAAAAATAATTAAGAATACTTCATATTGTCTATTCAAATCAATTAATATTAATTATAATTATAAATAATTCATTTGGGTTTCTTAATGGATGCTAATGACAAGGGAAATGAGAAGACACCGCATTGCCTTCGCCTCCACTCCTTCGCCTCTTTCCGCCACCGTGCAGAATTCTTGGAGTGTAAGGGACCTACTCGAGTTCAGGGAACTCCTCCTACACCCGTCCGTGCCTCTACCCGTTGAACTACCTGTCGGTAACAGGGGGACTAACGTGGGCCCCGCTTATGTTGACGTGGTGGCAAGCGTGTGGCGGACAGGCTTCTATTTGGGATTTTAATCCACCGCACCGACAAGACGATGGCTCGCCAATTTGGACGGTCTCCTCCTCTTACACGCGACAAGTTTGATCTTTTCTTGATCTTTCGCGTCGCGTCCTCTTGGTTTTGGCTCCAAATCTCCGGCCCTGTGCGAGAATCCAAGTGGAGGCTATGATGGGGACGCGTGTGGTGGCAACGGGATACGGCCAATTTGGATCGTGAGTCGTTGGTGCTCTTGGGGACGGTGAAGCCTTTGGGACATTCGATTCCTCCTGGGAAAGCAATTTGGTGCCGTCTCCTTCGAGGAAGGAGAAGACGACTCTTCTGAGTGCAGAAAGGTTCCGACTCTTTTGAGGTCCGAAGGAGGGACGAGATTTCTCACCCGGAAATCAGATAAGTTTTCTGTGTCTTCTCCGAATTCTTTGTGGCTGGTAAAGATTGGATCTTGGGATGCAAGATTGAGTTTTTATTGCCCAGTTAGGAATTCTGAGCGAAACCCGTGTTCGATTTGATATAATCCTTTTGGGTGGAGAATCTTTCGGTAGTTCTGGCGGATTAGACGGGAAAGGTGCGGCTTTTTGTTCCCGGTGTAGGGCTTTCCTTGCTCCTTTGGGCGATCGACACAAAACTCGTCAACACAATCAGATCCCATTTTGTTATGTTTGCCCTTTTGTATCGTATTTCGTTCATACAAATCAAATAGTAATCAAAGAGAAGAAGTGATTTTCCTTGGTCCGAAAAGGATTTAGGACTTGATTATACTCGGGAATTGGAAATGGGTAAGCCGACTGCTAAGAAGAAGAGTTCAGGAGGTAAACATACTGATGCGAACTCAAGGAACAGCAGATCCATCGAACACAGCCCAAAAGTCTTTGATGAGGATACGACAATCTTCATGGACATGGCTCGTGATTTGAAAGAGGAGGGCAACATGTTGTTCCAGAAGAGGGAGTATGAGAGAGCAGTGCTGAAGTACGAGAAGGCCATTAAGCTGCTTCCAAAGAACCACATTGATGTTGCGTACCTCCACAGCAATACAGCAGCCTGTTATATGCAGATGATCCCTGAGGAATACCACCTTGCAATTAATCAATGTAATCTATCTCTCAAGGTCTCACCCAAGTACAGTAAGGCACTACTGAAAAGGGCCAAGTGTTTTGAAGCCTTGAATAGGTTGGATTTGGCCTGTAAAGACGTCGACCTAGTTCTGAGCTTGGAGCCAAACAACCTCACAGCATTGGAAATTTCAGAAAGAGTTAAAAAGACAATGGAGAAAAAGGGCACCGTTTTAGATGATAAGTCTCTTTATCCACTGCCAGAACCTCCGACAGTGAAAGAGAAGCTGAAGAAGAAGAAGAGGAGCCATAAGCCCATGGAGAAACAGGTTGAAGTTAAGGAAGAGCCTATGAAAAGCGTGAAGTTAGTTTTCGGGGAGGACATAAGATGGGCTCAGGTACCAGCTAATTGTACAATGTTGCAGCTGAGGGAGATTGTTGGCAATAAATTTCCAAACCTGAAGGCTGTCCTTATCAAATACAAGGATAAAGAGGGTGATTTGGTGACAATCACTACATCTGAAGAGCTGAGGTGGGCGGAAGAATCTGCAGACCCACTGGGGTCTGTTAGGCTTTATATTGTAGAAGTTAACCCTGATTTTGAACCTTTGCTTGAAGAGGCAAAAAACAGCTCTTTAGGGAGGAAGCTGGACAGAGAAACTAATAGCATATCTGAAAATGGGAGCATCAGACATGACAATGACAAGGTCTCTTCAGTTTATATTGATGACTGGATTGTGCAATTTGCTCGGCTATTCAAGAGCCACGTTGGTTTCAATTCTGATGAATATCTGAACCTTCATGAGTTAGGCATGAAACTGTTTTCAGAGGCAATGGAAGAAACTGTCACAACTGAACAAGCACAAGAAATTTTTGAAATCACTGAGGATAAATTTCAGGAGATGGCAGCTCTGGCATTCTTTAATTGGGGAAATGTGCATATGTCTCGAGCAAGGAAGAGACTGTTCTTATCAGAAAATCCTACGAAGGAATCTATGCTTGCAGAGGTGAAAGCTGCATATGAGTGGGCTCAGACTGAGTATGTTAAAGCGGGAAAGAGTTACGAAGAAGCTTTGAAATTCAAGGCTAATTTCTATGAGGGTCTTCTTGCACTTGCACTGCAACAGTTTGAGCAAGCAAAGCTTTCATGGTATTATGCAATTGGAAGCGAGGCAGATTTGGAGACATGGCCTTCATCGGAAGTCCTGGAGCTATTCAACCAAGCTGAGGATAACATTGAAAGAGGAACAGAGATGTGGGAAGAAATAGAAGAGCAGCGGTTAAAGGAACTCTCCAAACCCAATGAGGAAAAGACCTTGTTGCAAAAGCTGGGTTTGGAAGACTACTTCATAGAGCTCTCGACTGATGAAGCTGCAGAACTTGCTTCTAACATGAGATCTCAGATAAATATATTATGGGGAACCATGCTTTATGAGAGATCTGTTGTGGAATTCAGATTAGGTATTCCACTGTGGGAAGAGTGCCTAATGGCGGCGGTGGATAAATTCAAACTGGCAGGGGCTTCTCCAACTGACCTTGCTGTGATGATAAAAAACCACTGTGCCAATGAAACTGCCCAAGAAGGTATTAATATTTGTCCTATAAAGGCTGCAATTGTTTTTTTTTCACCTTTCAATTATGATTAGAAGAAAATATATGAGATCAAATGTCTGGAAGTTCATATAACTAAAATTATTTAAATCTTACATATTATATACTACTGATTTGTGTAAAAATTCATCAAACATGGTTTATTAATTTGTGTCAAAATACTTGAAACTGATTTGTGTAAACCTTAGATGTGTTTTTATCCTCATTTTGGAAATACCAAGTACATGATGCTTGCAGATAGTTACCAGAAGATTGATTGTTAGGACACAAATTTCTTGGCACTTGCGCATATTTCTCTCCAATCCATGGCCTATTGATAAGGTTATTTCATTTTAAAATTAAATTTCATCTAATTGTTTATTTCATATTCCTAACCGTGTTCTTTGTGGGCACATAAAGGCCTTAGGAGGAACTCTACAAGTGGTTCAACAATCACCTTGACACCCAAATACCTCACCTCTGTTAATGTTGTTAAATATGCACCTACCTAATCAGTGATCTATTATGTATCATTAAACTTTGAGCATCCTCTTGACTCCAGCTGGCCTGGAAATGATCCTGCAATTCAAATTCTCAATTGTTTTTCTTTTATTTGCAGGATTAGGCTTCAAGATTGATGAGATAGTTCAGGCATGGAATGAGATGTATGATGCAAAAAAGTGGATAAGTGGTGTTCCATCATTCAGACTTGAGCCTTTATTTCGGCGGAGAGTCCCAAAGCTGCATTATATACTGGAACATATATGATTTATAAATTTATTTCAGCAACACAGTATTAGTGGGTATTGTTGGGAACATCAAAACATAGATTCTGCTGTCTTTATATTTCAGATAGGTAGTTTTTTCTTCTAATCATGGATGATTAAATTCTTTTTTCATCTCTAAAATTGCTAGCACTGCATAGATTCTGTTGTTAAGATATTATTAACCTAAATTAGCTGTAACTTACTCACTGATTATAGGACTTGTTTTCTAGTCTTGTAGTTCTAATTTTATGCAAAGCGTTCTATTATTTTCTTCGCTAGAATTGCCAGTACTAAAATTTTTTGGAACTATATTAACATCATTCCCTCTTGAAGTTACCATTTTTTTTTTCTTTCTTCTTAGTTCACAATATTTGCTTTAGTTTTATGATTTCACAATTCTCATCTTTTTTCTTCCAGGTTTTTCCAAATAAATGATTCATGAATGAATTAGTAGAAATGTTTGATTGCAAATACATTTGAATCTCTTGTATAGAGTCACTACTAACTGAAATTGTCATTTTGGTCAAGTCGGTTAAGCCATTGTTTAGAAAAATGTGATTCCATGAAGCTTGTTATTCTGTTTTTCTGAGTCAACACTTGAAAGCAAGAAATGCTCCTAGAGAGTTGTATTCAAATGCAAAGCATTGAAATGCATTTGAACACAGTGGACTGGGGAAAAGAAGTCGTGCAACTGTGTGATTATGCCATGTACAGAAAGCACATTTTGATGCCAAAAGTGGCATACCCTATCTTGTATCTGGACTGTAATGCTGGTTCAACAATACAAGTGGGTCCAGCAAGGATCAACCTTAGCTGCTGAACTTGAGTTCATAGATTTATTAAAGTCATCTGCTGTTTTTGTAATCACCCATCTGCTATTAAGTCTGAAGCTAGGACAATTCATTTCAGAAATTGAGTATGTAACATAATCACTTGATGTCTTGCTCAGAATGGTTTTGTATTCTGAAATGATAGAAAATTGGAGGACAAAACATGGAGGTATTGGATCAAGGAATTAGAAGCTGAGAACCATAGATGCTTTTTTTTAGTGGTAAAACACATTTAGTTGATCAGAGATGAAATTTCTCCTATCCTACCAATTTTACTACTAGTATGTACTGCCGCAGCAAGAACACTGTGGTTGTCTAACTGGCTCGATTTGGGTTGTTCTTCCAGTTTAGGTCAAAAATTTGTTAAAAAAGGTACATAAAATTGGATCTAGAAAAAAATTTGCTTTTATCCCAATTTAAGTGATATCCTCATCCACAAACAATTTGGTGATAGTCTAGCAAAAAAATGAAAATGGTGTTCTTGCAAAATGGTTTCAGATCTAAATTTACGAGTGAAAAAATGTGTGTTTGCATGCACCTGTGAGTCATTGGTTCTTGTGTCAAGTTGATCTGGAAGAATATGCTGAAACTATGTTAGATGTTAACAACATGCTTGATGGTGCATCTAAGAAAACTTGCTTTTTGGTATTTTGTACTGTTCAATATGAATCCTTATGATATACAAATTGAGGAGACAACAGGCCTTGGTGTCCTGATAAGATTGCTCCTTTGCAATGTAAAAGCATGGAACCTCTCTCCCTTTGCTCTGGTATGATGGCCAGCTTGGATGATAGTGTCAAGGGGTGGAAGGTGAAAGAGGGGTGACAGTGAATAATAACTTGGGAGAAAGATTTTGCAGGATGCCTAAGATTTCAATCTTTACTGAGGGCCTCAATTGGTTTTATCCACTCTGGTGTTTTGTTCAAACTGGAGAAAAAAAAAATCAATGGCAGGGGCTATTTACCAGTTAGAACTGAGCTGTTTATGTCCCAGTTCTAGGTCATATGGGTAGTTACCAACCTGAATGGGTGGCAATCCATGGTATTGCATCCATGATCTCTCAGTTTGTCAGTCCTCATTTTACTACTAAAATTAGATTTCTAAAAGATGTGTACATGAAAGTTAAAAGTTAAAACTACAATTTTCAATTAATTTTGAATTATTTTAGCCCTTGTCTCTGCTGTTAATGAATTATTTGCGTTATAGTAGCTTTTGTGAGTCAATCATCTCGCAAGATGACAATCTTCTACTAATTGCACACATTAGAGTGGAAATAATCCAAAACTTCATCTTGGTTTAACAACCACCACCTGAACTGCATGTGAACTATAGAGACTTGTAAGTTCATTAACATATCAGCTCATATAGAATCAGCGGTTTGGAATCTTAAGCACCTGTATCAATAGGAGCTTATCTTCTGAACTTGCTTTCATATAGGATGTCATCCTCTTGTGGCTGCTGTGTTTGTGGCAACATCCAGTCTGTATATTGCACTATTATCCTAGGTGGTGGAGACGGGATAAATTCTAGATGGACTTCAGGAAACTTTTCGATAGGTGGTGTATCATGCTTTAGTAGGAACTAACATAAAACTCCATTAGTAAAGAACAGGATGTTGACAAATTCCGACTTTTCTATTAGCCTAGCATTATGATATCTGCAAAGGTATTTTTTACTGCTAATGCTTAACACCAACTTGAGTGGTCTCTTCTGTTGGAGCAATATTGCTAGCTCCATAACTAGAAATCAGGCTATTATTATTAAAAACTTTCCATCTAGGGCAAATGATAACATTGCTCCAAGAATTTAGCCCCATCTAACAGAACTTTTTGCTGCCATTGCAGGGGTCCTTGTTCATGGGATTATATATTCAATTGTTCGCTTGCTCTTGTGGAGAAGAGTTTGTCGATTCGGAGTCACACAGCAGAATTCTTTATTTTCCTTTTCATGCACCAGGTTGGAAGCCTAGTGCTATATGTGATTACTTGGTACTTGGTGGTGTAGCATAAACTTATTTCAAGTTGGAGTCCGACATGGCCGTCGTCCAGCCCTCTTCATATTGGCTGAAGAAGTTTGATTTTTTATGTATTTTTGAATTTTCTCCTAGGATAATACATGGTATTGGTCATTTGTTCTGAAGGTTTGTTCTTCATCAGAATGGTTAACTTGCTACGTATTTGAACATACAGGTTACTCTTATTAGAAGTTCAGAATATATTAAATTACTTTGGCAATTTGTTGCATATGGTTGTCTTGACAAATGCAGGCCTGGAAATATTTGTGAGAAACATCGTTACTATCCGGGCTACAAAGATTTGAATGAGAGACTTGTGGAAGTTTGATATGAGCTATAGCTTTGTTGGTAGCTTTGAGCTTGTTGTTGTGGCAGTATTATACTCGTTCTTGTATGTGCTATGTCTTGTTACATGATGGCCACTTTACATAAAGGATTACACAGAAAAAAAAAATTATCTCGCTCTCCATGTTTTTATATAGAAAAAAAAATTAAAATCTTTTAAGGGTGATTTCGAAGAAAAATTTATTTTTTGGTATTTTTCCTTTAAGGTGCTTATGTATTCTTTATTTTTTTTCAAGTGATGTTCTTATTGTCATTTGTCCTTGTTAACTCCAACAATTATTGTCTTCAATTATCATCTTTATTGTCTCCATTGTTGGGGTCCTCTATTGTTGTTCTTGTTATCACCCATTAAACCTTATTTTAATTTATCTTTGTTATCACCCATTAAACCTTTATTTCAATTTATCTTTAAAGTTTTTTTTGTCGTATATTGACCATCAATCTTCATACTACTATATCTCTATCCTCCGTGTAGGCCTTCTACTTTGCTCATAATATTAGTTCCAATTTTGTACCCTCAAAAAAAGAAAAAAAAAGATGGGACTTTACATAAGCGATGGGCATTTACGAGATTGTAAAAAATAAAAATATCATTTAAAAAATAAAAATAAAAGATATCTTTCGAAAAAGCCAAAAAAAATTTCAGGTAAATCACTCATCTTTTAATTTCTTAATTATTTTTCTTTGAAATGTACTGTCACATGCAGAGAATTGAATTGCGATCTGAGGAACCAAGTCTCATCATCATCCTTGTCCTCTGATATGGAAAAGAGTGGCCAAATCAACTCGGTATATTTCCAGTTTCACTTTGACATCCAACACGGTAACCTCAAATCATCTTTCATGCCACTTGCCACCTGAAAAGGAAGAGAAAGATTTCAAAGAATGGAAGGCCTTCACTATGTCCAAGGAGGTCAATTTCCTCCACAAACCAAAACTCTATGTCATGGGTTCTCTTTCTGCAACATGAGCAGATGCTCACAAGCAATACCAATACCAAAGTTCACACTGGAGATTGAGAAAAGTTTAGAGGATGAAGAAAGAACTGAAGAAGTTTCAGTACCAGACCATCGAAACTCTCAATCAGCTGCAGCATCTCCTGGATCAAATATACAGCTCCAAGAACCCTAATCATCAAGACATGGGTTGGGTTTCTTGGCCATGCATACTTGTCTTATCCCTCATTCCCCCACTATCAACTTCAAAGCCAGAAACAGTGCTCACTAATCGATACCCAAAAACTTCAACCACATGAGTCTATCAGCATATATCTCCATCAACATTTTCCACTGAATCAAACCACTGCCAGCTGCTGGTCATTGCCACTCATCAGAGAGAACCTTGAAGGCTTGGGGCGGAAGTCCCTCCTCCGGCACAGGCCATGGCTTGATGGCCTAACGATCTGCACGAGGACAGCTTTCATGGACCTCGCCCTCGCCGGCCCTCCTTTCGGTTCCACCGAGCCCGTCGACTGTGCCGCAGACTTGCCGGAATTCCGCCCTGCGCTCCGATGTAGCTTGCACCGGAACGACCCCGGGTGCGTCGTCGGCGAGCACAGACAGGTCCGAGGAGCTTTGCAGGGCTTGCATGAAGGCGAACCAGTGCAGTACTCCATGGATGGAAAGGAAAGTAGGTCTGAAGCTCTCTGTTTCTGCTATTGTCTTCTTGGTGGTATTACCTCCATGACGTAGAAATGGTGGTGAGACATCAACAGAAGAGATTAGACTAACGAAGCTTTGTGGGCTGCTGGTCATCATTCAAAGCCATTTGTTGACGGCAATAAGATGGCTTTCCTTGAAAGGGTTTCCAAACCATGAGAAAGAGCTGCGTGTCTCCGAGCCCCCCGTTTCCTGCGCTCATCGACTGCCATCTACTGAAGCTGTGTGCTGTGGGGGGCACGCGACCTCCTTCTTCCACAACTTCGTTGATTCTTGGCACTTGTTCCTTGAGATTCGTGCTTTGTGAGATCTGCTCGATGTGTTGCCTAACTCAACCGTCGAAGATCATCATCGAAGAGGTTGACATAACCAACCCAAGGTTTAATGGATGCGGATCTTCCATAACATATGATTGAGCCCGATCCGGCCCATAATATGTCAGAGCCCATATATTGAGCCGTTCTCGTTAATCAACGAGCCCAACTTGGCACATTATGAACCCCGGAGCCCCCTTCTGTATTTAAGAGACCGCGTCACCTGGACCGCATCACTTCCGTTTCGCGGCGCTAGGGTTTGGATAGGCAACCGAGAAGCTCCGTACCTCCGCTCCCTCTTTGCCGCGGGCGCCGCGGTGTCCATTCCTTCGTCGCTTGTTCGATCATGGCGGAACAGGTTAGTTTTCATCTCCACTCTACCGCCTTTTTCTCTATCATCTGGAGTGGTCTGATTGACGCACGGAGGGATCTGTGGATGTATTTTGGTTTCGTGTTTGCTCATCGGTTGTTCTTCCTTGATATGCTGTTGATCATACTAATGCGTTGGGATTTTGCTTCAACTCTTTCAAATCTTCGTTATTGTTGTCTACATAATTGCAAGTAATATCACCTGTATTATCTTGAATTACGTCGATCAATGCCTTAATTAGATGTTATTTCTACGTTGTTGATTTGTTTTCCCGTTGGTCTTATGTTGCAATACTATTGGCTATCTTGTTTGTGTAATTTCTTCTCTCTGTTAGCCTGTTGGCTACTTTCGGTGTTATTTTCCAAGGGAATCCATGCATATAGTTTCTTAGTGCATTCTGTGCCCTAATTTTGGTCTATTAGGATTGGTCATGCTTTAACAGTCTTTTTGTATGTTCTTCTTGTAGACAGAGAAGGCGTTCTTGAAGCAGCCGAAGGTGTTTCTGTGGTAAGTGAAAGGATTTTAAGTATTAATTGTTCGGAAAGAAATTTATGCTGTGAAATTTAGTATAAGTGTGTTTGTAATTTGCAGTTCAAAGAAATCTGGAAAGGGAAAGAGACCCGGAAAAGGTGGGAATAGATTCTGGAAGAGTATTGGTCTTGGCTTCAAGACTCCCAGGGAAGCCATCGAAGGTCTGGACTCTAACACATCTCTTTCCTTGTTCATCAGACATAGCATGACCATTTCCTTGATGCTGGTTACATGTTTTTTTTCCTCGAAAATGAAGATTATATTAACAGATTAATGGGTACAATAAGAATCATAGCAAAGGCCAATTGTTGTGCCAGAAAAGGTCATCTTAGATGATCTACCAAAATTTTTAATAATTCATTGCCTACGTTTAGAATTCCTTTAGGCTATGGAAGATCTTCCATGAAAACCGAAAAACTCATCTTCACCACATGAACATAAGTGTGTTTGTTGCAGGAACCTACATCGATAAGAAGTGCCCATTCACTGGCAATGTATCGATTCGAGGTCGCATCCTAGCAGGCACATGCCACAGTGCCAAAATGAACAGAACCATCATTGTGCGCCGCAACTACCTTCACTATGTGAAGAAATATCAAAGGCAAGCAAGAAACTGCCACACTGCTCTTATTTCTAATTGCTTGTTTTAGGGATTGAAGATGCTAAGTTCTTCCCTTAGGTATGAAAAGAGACACTCGAACATTCCTGCACACATATCGCCCTGCTTCCGTGTGAAGGAAGGTGACCATGTTATCATTGGTCAGTGCAGGTGAGCATTTTTTTCTGTTCCCCCTTTATGTAGAGCCAGAATTACTGATTGAAGTAAGATCTAAGAAAAATTGCATGGTATCTGCAGGCCACTGGCAAAGACTGTTGGATTCAATGTACTAAAAGTCATCCCAGCTGGATCAACAAGTGGAGGTGGGAAGAAGGCCTTTGCTGCAGTTTGAATCTTACTTGAAGTGCTCTAATTTATCTCCAATTTTGTGTTAGACTCTGTTTGGAATTCACGTGGTTTTAGTTAATTCATTTTTATCTCTGATTGACGTGAACTCGTGTATAATTTCTCTATATTAAGTTTACTTGCGAAATTGTGCAACAATGTGCTAACGACTGGATTCAAGTCCCTTTTTTCTTACATTATTATTTAGACTTGAGGCTTCATCTAATCATTTACAAGCCGAACATTAACTACAACATGCACTTGTTGCTACAGCATGTTATGATGAAATCTGAAGCAAAGCCAAAGCTATCGGATGAGATTTCATCCGATCTTTTCCTGGAGTCAAGTAGGTCGTCGTCGATTCTTACTTCCATTTCCTCAGCCCATCAAGACCCCATGTAGATTTCATAGATCTTTCTTCGGGTTCAGCGAGCAGTGGCTCCCTGTTTTCACTCTCATCTGTGTTTCCCTTCCGAAACAGATCTTGGAACATCTTCCTCTTCCCTTTGTCAGACTTGATGGGTATCAGTGGCGAACCTTCCGGCATCTGTATCGAACTCTTGCCACTGCGTTGGTTTTCCATCCAAGGCCTCCGTGGATCCATCACATTCACGTCCACGGAGCCTAAAGGCCCCTTCATCGCCTTGCAAGAGCCGTCCTTCTTCCCTTTACCTGTCCATAAAGCTGCATTGCCGATGAAGGCTTTGATCGGAGTTTGGTTCTTCGCCTTCTCCGCGACCGTAGAGGGCGCTTTGTCCCTGAGCTCTATATCTGACCATTCCTCTTCCGTGCTCATCGTCGGGCACCTAATGATCACGTCGCGGCAATCGAGCTCGACGCCTTGCACGGCCAGCCTCTGCAGCAGAGGCCTCTTCGACGAATGGTACTCCTCCGCCGAGATGCACTTAGCATAGTACAATTCCTACGATGGACGAGAGAAAAATTCAAGCGTTTTCGCGATGCAAGCTGAAGAAGAATGAGCAGCGTTTCTGAGTCCGGAAGACCTGTAAGAAGAGTAGCTTGTCGCGGACGACGCCGGCTGACTCCTGGTCCTTGGGGGCGGCGATGAGGGTGTCGAGAATGTGGGTTCGGAAAGCGACCACGTCGCTCTCGGGCACGATGCCCTCTTTCCGGAGGCCCATGAGGTGAAGGATCCGGTGGAAAGACTCCTGTTGCCACTTGAGGCTGTCGGAGTGGCGCTCCGCGAGCTTCTGGTCGGGCAGCGGCGGCCGCCGGCTCCTGAGGCTGAAGGGCAGGATCGATTTGCACAGGGAGGTGATGGTGTCCTGGAAGGAAGAGTAGTAGGTGGGAGTGTAGCCGTACGCCATCGTCGTCGTCTTCTTCTTCCTCTCCTTGCAACAAGTCTTACAGAATGTAGGAGTTGTATTAGGGTTCAGTGGTTGTTTCTCGAGCGTGGGGAAGAGATTTAAGCCGTGGAAGAAGACGAGCTTTGAAACGTTTCTGCACAACGGTAGAACCGAAGAAACCTAGCCGTTGGGGGGTGACGTGTCTTAGAGTTTGGAATGAGTAAATGCCCCCTTTAGAGAATATGAGAAAAGAAGAAGGGGTGAAGTGAAAAATCTGTTCTCACATGGATGCATACAGATACATTTGTGGCAAAAGGATTCAACAATCAATATAACTTTCCAGAATCATAGCTTGCTGTTCCAACTAAACAGCAAGGAATCTTTGATGGCAGAAGGGCTCACAAAATGACAAACCATGAAAAATGCACCACCAAAACAAATGCTCTTCATCACAATTTGCTACTCCCAACCACACAAGTCAAAGGTTAGCAGTTACATTGCCACCATTTATTAGACTCTGTATTCACATCTGTTTCTTCTTGATGAAATGATATATGTATATGTAAGCTAAATCTCAATCTACCAATTTCTGAGCAAAGTAAAGAAGGTCACACACTTTTAGCAATATACCCAATAGTAGTAGATCTGCCAATGCTGCTGCTGAACCATATCAGCCACCCCTTTGTAACTGTAAAAGCCACTGTGTTGTTCATTCCAAGTGCTTGATGACTAAAATTAACACCCAATTTCTCTGCTGCTAAAATTAGATTTCCCTGCACATAATATTAAGTTTCAATATGTGGCTGCAGATTGCTTCACTTGATTCAGTATGACCATCATAGCAGCAAATAGTGCTCTTGTTCTTGTGTTCTTCATTCCTGGCTCATTGTCTACATGAATCAGCCAACATTGAGATCACCTGCATATTTTTTAGCTCACATTTTGATTCGAAGTTTAGGCAAAAAACTTTTCACAAGTAGCCTTTTATAACACACCTTTTACGCTTGCTTTTCAGAGAACTTGATGATGATGGATTTGTGTGCCAATTCCTTTTTCTTTGGTTGATGAACCAGTTATTGATCTGCTTTAGCTGTAATCCCGTTTCCTCCACCAATTGTGCTTTATCGTCCTCCTGTGAATCAAGAGAAGAGAATATGGTAACAAGGCTGCCATGAATATGACAAGATTGGAGAATACAGTGAAAGATACCAACTGATACAATGTCATGGAAGTTATCTTCACAAGATGAAGGAGAATGAATGACAAGCTAACATACTGTTGGATATGGCCATTTAGAGTGGGACTGCCACCAAGCCTTCAATGTACAAGTGCTATCCCCAGGGAGTTTTCCAGCTCTTCTCTTACGCAGAATCTCTTCTCTGACATCTACAATCTTCTCCTTGTAACCCTAAAAGTCAAAGATTTGATCAACAGACATATACATGAACTATTGAAGAGCCAAATATCGATAGACATTTTACCTGTTTCAGCTCATGCTTCAGCTCCTGCCTAACACGTTCCATCAAGGATCTCTCACTGTCGGTTGGTACAAGAGGGCCAAATCCCATGCTGTCTGGAACACCCAAGCTTCCATCCAACAGGTTTGTCTCACTGTCAACCTGGTCATCATCATCATCATCAGACATAGTTGCACCTGTACCTTCACCAGGAGAGACACCTGTTGCATTTGGCACAATTGAACTCTCATGATCTTTATCAATACTCAACCATTGAAACATTTTAGATAGTTTTAAATGAATAAAATTGAGCAGCCATGTTCCAAGCAGACACACAAGTTTAATCTTATAAAAAATATAGCAATTTTGGCATGATCATATGATATAATCTATTACAAAATTTTGCAATACTATGTTGTTTTCATATAAATTAGATTGGTCATAGAGATGCCAAAGATGCCATTTCATAAGAGCTCTCTAAAGATATTACTGATACTGCCCTGTTATAGTAATATGTTGTGTCCCAGTTCAAATATATTGTTTAAATTAAAGACGATAGGTTTGAAGCTAAGTTAATCATTCCATATGAGAATATCTTTAAAGCTTTTGGAACAACAGGTTATTATATTGACTCATTTGAAAAATCTTGGTAAAACAAAGTAAAGTACTTGGCTTATTGAACATGTTAGATTTGGGCTTAAGAAGGTACTTTTGGTTTTGTGAAAATAGAACATTTGATTATTAGACTTTAGAAGTGTGTTTTCTTGTTTTCCTAACTCAGATATTGTTGTTTTATATTAAAAAAGAATCAAAATTTAAGATAGTATTATAGAAGTCCTGCCATCTACAATTCAGTTCACAATCCAATCCAGGATAAAGCTTTCTCTTTTGGAACAATCCCAATCCCAACAACAATGATCTGAAATACATTGGATATTCTAGAATCTAAAAATCCAATCATAATTTGTTTGTTCTCTTATTTGGCTGCCTAATTATATTGCTTACTAATCATCACATTAGAATCTAACAGTCAAAACTTACCAAATTTCAGACCAAATACTAGCATAAGCTCAGCAGAATCATGAACACTTTAATTACAGAATAATTATATTTTACTTGTAATTGATTGCCATGTTATGGCATGAGGACATGCCAACATTTTTCTAGCATGGTGGCACAATATTGTCTTGGGCTGTTTGGTTTTCTATGTTCCAACCAACATGAGCCAAAAAAAATGGTACTTGTCGGCTGTAAAATGAAGCTTCTTTATTATTAGTGAATGTTATATAAATCTCAGGAATAACTGTTATAGTATATAGTAGCTGCTCTGAATTTTTCCAAGAAAGAGTATTTGCCTTCATGTATATTGAGTTTGAGCTTTTAATCCATGTAAATATAAATTGTTTCACTAGAAATGTAATGCTTTTCAAAACAAGAATGCGAAGGGAACCTGTTAGGCTTTGAAGTGCTTGCTCAAGCTCCCAACAAGCCATCACTGCTTCCATGGCATGAACACGGACATGCTGCTGTAGTTGTTCTTTGAAGGAGCAAAGTAGCAAGACATAATGTGTCTGACGAAAACATTAAATGTTTCAAAGATTAGAAAATTATACTCAAATAACAACAACAATAACCAAAGTCTATCATATGAACCACAAGAAAATATCAAAATTTGTGAATTCTCAAGTGAAGAATGCTTGAAGATGCAAGAAGAAAATAAAAGTGATTATTATACAGTTAAATAGTTGGAGATAGAAATTTGTTATGCTATCAATCTGTCAGCATCATGCAGTCTAATAACTTTCAGCATATTCATGAAACAAACTTACATGCATATCACTTAATCTCGCCCTAGTAAAATCTGGGTTCAATGCGACAATTCTTTGCAATGCATAAAATGCAAGTATCTATTCCTGGAGCTTATATGGTGTGACAATGGGCATATGAAGTAGACAAGTGATCACAGATCTTCCTCTCAGTGTTAGGAGCTCTGTCTTTTTTGGAAATTTAAGTACAATTACTGTCTTTTTGGAAAGACATCATTCTAGAATCATGCCATAAATTGAATTTATTGAAGAAAGCAACACTATGTTATAACTTCCTGTTGGGAGGGCAGTGGATGAAGGAAATTAAAGCTTTAAGAAGGATTTTAGACATGATTGAAATTGATTGAGATAGATTTAAGCTTTGAAACATAATCTGAACAACTTGGGAAGAAGGTTAGTATACAGTCTACAACATTAGGATCCTTGAAATGAACTTATATATCCGAGTGTTGATTCTCAATATGAGTTCTCATATATTCTGTAAAGCACATATGCAATTTGCTGAAAGATCTGACATTAATATGCATGTAAGACACTCTAATGTCAAATACATCAAGGAAGAAATAATTTTCCCATGATAGAAGGATGTTTCAGTCAATTGTTTGGTTGCAGTAATAACATAGTATTGTCAAGAAAAAAGGAGATAAAATCTTCAACTGAAATGAAAAAAATAAAATGGTTCTTGCTATTTGACAAACTACTTATGAGCTTGCTCTTGTAAGAAGATCTGTGACTTTATGATGTCTCTCCTATTACATGAAATGAAACAGATGTCGAAAGAAATTAGTCTCTGAAGTCATCTTTGAATGTTTTCAAATAAAGTGTAAATTTCAGCAGATCTTTCTCATTCTTCACCAAAAGTTTTAGCATGTTTCTTCCTTCTAAGATTAGTCTCTGAAGTTATAGTAGATCTTTCTCACTCTAAGTTTGGCAAGAGAAGTGACAAAGTATGAAGTTCAATCATGCTACTGAAGACGATCCAAAAGAGAAAAGACAGACTCATTTGGGGACTTCAATCTACAGAGTGCTACGGAATTCCCTTATCACGATAAGCAAATCCTCATCCGAATCAAGTCTCAACACAGAACGGAAACACTGGTCTTCCCCATCCCTAATCCCGTTCAAGAAACCAATCGAAGAACATCAATTTTTTTTTCCAGTAAATCATACACAAATCGAGGAAAGAAAGCCTATAAATCACAGAAACGCAGGGAAAAAAGGGTTCTTGAATCCAAGAAAAGCCAGATTCGAAATGAAGGAACCATTTGGATTGAGAAAAAGAGCGAAAGATTGGATTTTTCTTGCTCTGTTTTACCATGAACCGATCGAGCTCCTTGCCGTCGCCGAGTATCTGACCGCTGCTGCCGCCGCCGCCGAGCACGGAGTACTTGGACACGACTTGCTGCGATTGCGCGAGCTGCGCATCGATCCTCGGCAGCTGGTCTACGGGGGTGGCGATCCTCACGCACGCGACGTGCGCCGACAGCAGCTGCTCGTACAACGGGTGCGCCAATATCTCCGCCTTGTACCTCGCGCTCTGCCACGTCCCCTCCCCCGCAGCCGCCTCCCCGCCGGTCCTCTGCGCCAACGCCTCCGCCTCCACGAACTCCCCGCCCGCCGGGATAGCAGCGACCATCACGGAGTCGCTCGAGACCGGGGCCTCGTCCTCGCTGCCGCTGCGCCGCAGGGTCGGGGGACGGGGAAACCAATGCCCCAGCCCCCCTCCGCCTCCTCCGGCTGCGACCGGTGGCGAGGAGGAGTCGACCGTGGTCTGGAGGTGGAGGAAGCTGCCGTCGGCGTAGTGGTGCCCCTGCCGCCGGAGAATTGCGCTGTTGAGCCACGTGGGTCCGCTTCC